AGCTGTAATTTTGTTTTAAAACCTTCTAAGGTAAGAAAAATATGTTGTATTTGTTTGACATACTTATGTATGCGTGTAAATATCTATGCATGTACGCGGCTCACCCGATCTGAAACCCGATTTTCAACCCTTTCATATTCTGCTCCTCTCTCTCGCTTGCTTGACCTACGCGTCACGACATTTCTCTCTTCTCCTTCTTAAAATTGTCATGATCTGACCTGCTTACATTCGGTCTCCCTTCGCGCAAAGGACTGTATTTAAATATATATGTATGTATGTACGTGTCTCTCCCGTGCGTCTCTCTCTCTGAAATTCGATTTTCAAGCCTTCATTTTCTACCTGTCTTGCTCCTCTCTCTCGGTCGTCTGACCAACGTATTTGTATTTTGGCTATTATTAACATTACATTACTTCAAAAAAGTTATTTATCTAAAAACAAATCATTGATATCCCAATAACTCTTTTTTTCTAGATGAGGAAAGGCGAAGAAAATGGATCAGCTTAGGTCATATGAAGTTCAGCAGACCTTGGGTAATAATAATGTTTTCTTGAGTCAAAAATGTGTTATTTAAAAATTTTTAAATGTTAAGTGTAAAATGTTTTAAATGTAAATAAATATAATATGCAAAAGAAATAACCAAGTTACATTTTATTTTTAGGGTTTCAGTGTTAGGCTTAGTACTCAACCCAACAAAAAGTCGTCCAAAACAAAAAACTTCAAAAAACAAGAAAGGAAGCTAGCTTCGGCCAGCCGAAGCTTATATACCCTTGCAGATCATTCCTATTAATTAACAAATCGCAAAAATGTTCAATTTTCTAATATTTCTCATTAATTTTCCGATCGTTCCTATGGCAGCTATATGATATAGTCGTCCGATTTTGATCAAATTAAAATTGAAATTCGGAAATATTTAAAAAGAGTCATATCCTAGAGTAGAAGATAATACAATAAAAACCAAAGAAGCTAGAATTTATTTCCTATTACTTTTCCATTAATTTTCCGATCGTTCCTATGGCAGCTATATGATATAGTAGTTCGATTTTTAAAATAATTAATTCAAAATTCAGAAATATTTAAAAAATAACATCCCCAAAAGTAGAAGGTAATATTTCAAAAAACACCGAAGCTAGAATTTTTTAAAGTTTTTTTCTTCCGATCCTTCCTATGGGAGCTATAAGATATAGTTGTCCGATCCGGTCGGCTCCGACATATATACTACCTCCAATAGAAAGAAGACTTTTGCGAAAGTTTTGTCCCGATAGCTCAAAAACTGAGAGACTAGTTTGCGTAGAAACAGACAGACGGACAGACGGACATGGCTAGATCGACTCGCCTAGTGATGCTGATCAAGAATATATATACTTTATGGGGTCGGAAACGTCTCCTTCACTGCGTTGCAAACTTCTGACTGAAATCATAATACCCTCTGCAAGGGTATAACAACGTCCAACAATTTTTTTTCATATGAAGTTTTTGTTTTGGACGACTTTTTGTTGGGTTGAGTACTAGCCCTTAATATAAAACTTCCTTTCAAGAAATATTATTTCTTAAATCAAGAAATAAAATTTCTTGAAAGGAAATTTGAACAAGAAAGAATTTTTCTTGTTTAAAAGGTTCCTTTCTAAAAAACCCTTTCTTGAAACAAGAAAGAAAGCACCTTAGAAACAAGTATCGCCTTTCTTGTTTCAATAAATATTTTTTCTTCATTATACCCTTGCAGAGGGTATTATGATTTCAGTCAGAAGTTTGCAACGCAGTGAAGGAGACGTTTCCGACCCCATAAAGTATATATATTCTTGATCAGCATCACAAGACGAGTCGATCTAGCCATGTCCGTCTGTCCGTCTGACCGTCTGTCCGTCTGTCCGTCGGTCCGTCTGTCTGTTTCTACGCAAACTAGTCTCTCAGTTTTTGAGCTATCGGGATGAAACTTTCCCAAAAGTCTTCTTTCTATTGCAGGTAGTATATATGTCGGAGCCGGAACCGGATCGGACAACTATATCTTATAGCTCCCATAGGAAGAATCGGAAAAAAAAACTTTAAAAAATTCTAGCTTCGGTGTTTTTTGAAATATTACCCTCTACTATTGGGGATTTTTTTTTTTAAATATTTCTGAATTTCGAATTAATTATTTAATAAATCGAACTTCTATATCATATAGCTGCCATAGGAACGATCAGAAAATTAATGGAAAAGTAATAGGAAATAAATTCTAGCTTCTTTGGTTTTTATTGTATTATCTTCTACTCTAGGATATGACTCTTTTTAAATATTTCCGAATTTCAATTTTAATTTAATCAAAATCGGACGACTATATCATATAGCTGCCATAGGGACGATCGGAAAATTAATGGAAAAGTAATAGGAAATAAATTCTAGCTTCTTTGGTTTTTATTGTATTATCTTCTTCTCTAGGATATGACTCTTTTTAAATATTTCCGAATTTCAATTTTAATTTGATCAAAATCGGACGACTATATCATATAGCTGCCATAGGAACGATCGGAAAATTAATGAGAAATATTAGAAAATTGAACATTTTTGCGATTTGTTAATTAATAGGAATGATCTGCAAGGGTATATAAGCTTCGGCTGGCCAAAGCTAGCTTCCTTTCTTGTTTAATGGTGGATTTCTAAAAAACCATTTCTTGTTTTAAGAAATTTAATTTCTTGTTTCAAGAAATATTGTTTCTTGTTTTAAAGGTTCCTTTAAAAAAAACCATTTCTTGAAAATAAGGCGATTTAACGGAAATTCTTCGATTTTTTTTATGAGTGCGCGGTACAGCTAAGAATACAAAAAAACCGATGTTTACCGACATTTTAAATTACGTGGCTTATATAATTGGACTAACCTTTATTATTTTCGGTAGGACCTACTCTCAATACATTACGGCATTCCTAAAAAATAGTCCCCATTGTGAACCATTGCCCATGTCTTTAAAATTCGACGCCAAAGATGAAAATACCAAAATTGTAGAGATTTTTCTGATGGTAAAAAAATTCTGAGAATTAAATCTTGAATGGAACTAATTTTAACTATTCATTGTATCTATTGTTCATTGTATGCTTTAATTTCGGTTTAATGCGATTTCATGAGGATATTTTTTATTGGATTTATTATACTAATAAATCCGTTTTTTCTATTTCAATTAGGGTGTTCAATTGCGTTGCAAACTTTGTAAAGTGTAAAAGTATAAATCAATTCCAACAACAATTTCTATCAGGGAACGAAAATAACTGTTATTGTAAATTTTTCATACAAAAAAATCACGCACTTAGAAGGGTCCTAAAAATTTTTTAAATACACCACAATTTTTATTAGCCATTGTAGTTTACAAATCCGTAATGATTTTTATTTTTTGATTTTTATAATAAAACTAAAAAAATAACTGTTATTTTTTGATTTTTATGAATAACAGTTATTCCCTTGACATTTTTGAAAAAATAAAATAATTAAAAAAAAACATGATACCCGTGCTTTTTATAACTTACTAAAAATTTGTTAAAAAAGGCAACCGCGCATATTTTGTACCTATATTTTTTTAAAATTTTGTTTACCCACAAAATCGCCATAAATCAAGTTTGAGTTTTATTTTTGATCACGACGAATAACTGTTATTTGTCAACTTTTATTATAAAACTCAAAAAATAACAGTTATTTTTTGAGTTTTACTTTACAAATCAGAAAATAACTGTTAAAGTGTGATTTTTAAAATAAAACTTATAACAGTTACGTTCCCTGATTTCTATACAAAATAAAGGCCTACTTTTGAAAATTATTTTGTATAGAAATTGTTGTTGGAATTGATTTACACTTTTACACTTTACAAAGTTTGCAACGCAATTGAACACCATAATTATCTACTCCAAAATGTTGTCATCAGAAAAATCTCTACAATTTTGGGAATTTTAGCTTTGGCGTCGAATTCCAAAGACATGGGCAATGGTTCACAATGGGAACTATTTTTTAGGAATGCCGTGATGTATTGAGAGTAGGTCCTACCAAAAATAATAAAGGCTAGTCCAATTATATAAGCCACGTAATTCAAAATGTCGGTAAACATCGGTTTTTTGTATTCTTAGCTGTAACGCGGAACCTGTAGGTGATGGAAAATAATTTTGTATGGGACTTTTACTCAGGAGCACCCTCATATCATGGAAAACTTGAAATGGTTCCTGGAAATTTCACAAAGTTTAATTTTGTGTTCCTGTGTTATCAGATTTCTTAATTCATCAGAGAAATCTTGAAAATTTTGGGGTTTCCAACTTTGGCGTCAAATTTCAAAGACATGGGCAATGGTTGACAATGGGGACTATTTTTTTGGAATGCCGTGATGTATGGAGAGTAGATTTCAGCGAAAATAATAAAGGTTAGTCGAATTATATAGGCCACATAATTTGAAATGACGGCAAACATCGGTTTTTTGTATTCATAGCTATACCGCGGAACCTGTAGGTGATGGGACATACGTTTGTATGGACTTTTACTCAGGAGCAATTAATTATCATGGAAAACTAGAAATGGTTCGTGGAAATTTCACAAAGTTCAGTTTTGCGTTCCTGTGTAATTGCTAATTACAAATATTACAAGTGATTGAACGTTGTTACAATATTTTAAAAAACGAATTGCAAATTACAAATATTGTGGCTGCTATTATAATATATGATTCGTTTTATTTGCACCCATTCTAAGTGCATTAATGGCTTTCTACTTATTTCAGTTATTCTTAACTTGATTTTTTGCATTAGTGTTTGACTGAGTCGATCGCAATAGCGATTTTTAAGTAAAATGAATTATAAATAATATTACATCGCTGCATCTGTATATAAAATGTTTTTAGTAAGATGATCAAAAACAAATTTTATTTCCACGGGCTGTGCTATGGCAGAACCTTTAAAGTCGAAATGAAAAATGAGATGAAAAATGGAATCTATTTTTAAATTTGTTGGAAAAATTCGATTCGGAACAAAAGTGACAATCGTATAGGGAAAACGTAATATTTAAGGAATTTTAAACCACAAATGTGTAATGACAAAAGCACTTAAAACAATAAACAATCATAAGGTCGGTATACATTGTTGGTCCACGAGCTAAAATTGCTCCTTTAAGGCTGCCTGTTCTGGAGATAACTCCATTTATATCACAAAGGTTACAAGACCCCAACCCGCAGTGCTTAGGTTCTTTTTAATAGTCGCCGAAGACGCCAAGGGAATCTGCTCGCAGCAGGGCCCACTTCTGGTAGTCATTTAAAAACTTCTGCGAAAAAATGGCGTCCATCTTGCGCTGTTTGAAAGTCTCATCCTGCATATTCTCTATGCTGTTATCCTGAGCCAATTCCTTGGGCATTGTTATCATAGGTAGAAAGGCGAATAAGCCAAAAAGCCCGTAGGTCTCGCGGCTTCGTAGTTCGTATTGAAGGTCTTCATAGGTGGGAATGTCGTCGAAACGGGCGTACTCTAGAGCGTCCTTAAATGCTGCGTAATATACCTTAATTAGCTCTTCACGGCGCTCTCGCAGCAACTCCAACTTAATGCTGGTGTTTAGAAAGAAGTTTAGGTCGCATGCCGGACTTCCATAAAAGCTCAGTTGAAAGTCCACAAAAATGGCACGGGTGGGAACCGCAGGCTGAGATGCATTTTCATAAGCGTACATAAAATTGTTGGTCCACATGTCTCCGTGGTTAAGCACCACGAAACGATCCCCCTTCTTCGGCTTGGCTGCAGCCACGCAGACGGATCGAAAGTTGTCCATAAGACGCTGAAGATTCTTGCTTATATTCTCAAAACCGGGCCAAACAGCTGAACTTTTAATGAGGCCCTTGAGAAAGCCGCCAAACATTTGCTCAAAGGTGTCGCTCTTCATCAAAATGTCTTCGCTGAGCATCCCTCGGGTGTACTGCTTTACTATGGCCGGATCCTGTGTGATTAAAAAACTTACTAAGATTGGTATTCTAGGCCACTACACTGTTTTCATCCCAACCTTTTTGGCCAGCACCATTGAAGTTGCATGGAACTTCCCCAGCTGCTGAAGAATAAGGGAGGCGTGGTTCCAGTCGAGCCCTGCTTCCCGAGAAGCCACCTTGTACCCCTCCACTTTAAGGTCGCTAAACACTATTGTCTGGACAGGAGTCTTCACTGAGTGATAGTATCTGTGGTAATATATGATAATTTAAAGTTGTGGAATTTCTTAATAAGCTTTCACCCACTTCGCTCCAAATGTGTCTCCACGAGTAAGGATGTCCAAACGAGGCAAGACATCGGTGTAGGTCTGTCTCTCTTTGATAAACACATTTACGTCCTCCAGGAACTGGGTAGCTTCAGTGATCGGAATGGTCTTTACAATCAGCGAAAGTAGCTCTGTTGATGCGGATTTCTTCCCATTGGTCCACTTTGAAAACGTGAGTCCGACCCGATAGATAGCCGAGCAGTAATTGTCTCCCGGGTTGCTGCCCCACTCAAAGTTGATTTCTTTCAGAGTCACTTTCGACTCCCTCAGACCGTCTTCTAGGGCCTCCGTGAAAAAATGTTCGTTCAGATACTCAGGCACTGAGATCTTCTGTTGGTTTTTTACGACCACCATTTTGCAAAAAAAAATAATTTTGGCTGAGCGACACTTTACCGCTTGCCGTTTCGTAGCAAACTAATTTAACAGCGCTGTAGAACTTAGCATTTTATATTTGTCGTGATAGTGTTTGTCTTTTGGGAATTATTTCTACGACAATTTCGAGCTTTTTAAATGACTGCTCTGTCAATATAAAAGTAAACTGATTAAGCGTTAAGCAGTACAGTGGTTATATCTTGATTAGAAGTTCGTTAGACTTAAGACATGGTTTTTATGTACACAAGTGAAACGACAACAAACCTTTAAAAAACGCACGAAAAAATTCGAAATTTAACCAGTGACAACAAAACAAAGCCAGATTCCGTTTGTCTGTAGTACCACTAAAAGTTGGCAAATTAACAAAATTTTGACAACAAAACAAAGCCAGATTCCGTTTGCCTTTAGTACCACTAAAAGTTGGCAAATTAACAAAATTTTCATAACTTTGAGGTAGTTTTTTTCAGAATACTTGCGTTAGGGCATTTTTTGGAGAACTCAGTTCGAGTTGGGAATTTGAAATAAACACAATTAATGGCACCCATTGAGGTAAATAAAAAAAATATTTATTTAATTTAATTTTGTAACATAGTGTTATTATTATTATATTTTAGTTGTTTTGTGTTCCATTCTTAATTTTTAACAATAAATAATAATTTTCAATAATAAGTAAATTTTTGTCCCACAGTAAGCTGCAAGCTTTTTGCTAGCAGAAAGTTTCAGCTAGTGTCGTCTTTTTGACTTTTGCAAAGTCATCCGCATGAAGGGTTTTTATGGAAATTCACATGCTTGTGGCTAAATGAAACCGTAATTAATTTCGTGCTCTTGTCTTTATTTTCGTTGTGGCCTATCAAACCTGTTGGCCGAAGTCATTCGACCACGTCATAGGTGTTTTCTTATAAGTTTGTTCTCTCATAAGTTTTGACATAGTTGATACGCCAATTCAATAACAGGCGGTGCTTCGCGGCTGGAACACCGCCTGGCAGTGGGTCAACAGACCTGATATTTACTCTAGGTGTTATCAACTCCGCAATATGTACACTCAACCAAATGTTTAACATATGTTTTAGAAGTGGGCTTAAAGTTTCCTTAAAAATCATACACTTAGACCCGATATCTCGTTATCTCCGTATGCTTTTAACATTGAATAAATTTTCAAGAATGAAATTTAACATGCGGACGAGAAAACGGTCCTGGTTCCTGTTATTTTAGTCTTCATATTGACCTAACAATTTTTAACTTTTTCGAAATTTGTCATGAAGTAACTTTTATATTCAGACTTTAATTTAAAAGTCTGAGAATAACAGTTTTTTTTTTAACAAAAAGTAAAAGCCTTCCCGAATCTTTTATTTTATAACTTGTATATAAAAGTATAAAAATAACTATTATTTTGTGACTGAAAAAAATTTAAGTTAAAATACCTGTTGCTTATATACATATGTACATATGAATAACAGAAAATCTCATCTGTTCAAACTGGGTTGAAATTTTGTATGCTGTTAAGGTTCTAATTTGTACTTATTGTACATAAATTCTTTAATACGAACTTGCACATTTGGTTATCGCGCATTCTCTTGTGCGTAACCATAATTTTTTTGTTGGTAAACGTAGTAGTTATGGTTGAAACTATTTTACAAAAGTTACGATTTTAGGATAATATATTGAGAAAAAAATTATAAAAATGTTACAATGACAAAGAATAAGAATTTACAAAAATCTTCTAAAAAAATTTAATTTAGAAAAACAAATTTTCAGGATTTATCTGGATCTAAAAACACTTATAGAAAAAACTAATAGAAATATGAGACATATTTATACCCGTTGCTCGTAGAGTAAAAGGGTATATTGTATTCGTGCAAAAGTATGTAACAGGATCACTTGATCAGGGTCACTAGCCGAGTCGATATAGCCATTTCCGCCTGTCCGTCTGTCTGTCCGTATGGATGCTGAGATCTCGGAAACTACAAAAGCTAAAAGGTTGAGATTTTCCACCCATATTCCTGGGCTTCTTACGCAGCGCAAGTTTATTTCAGCCGAGCGCCACGCCCCCTCTAACTCCCATAATCGCCCCCCTACGATTTTAAAATGTGTCTAGCGCCCACACCTTTAAAGATTTCCGAAAAGTCGAAATGCAATTTTATTGTGTATATTTATATCTATCGAAATGTAAAAGACATTTTTCAAATCGGACCATTCATTAAAAAGTTATGCGCAATAAAAAAAATGTTATATATTTATCTCCCTCGCACTCCCTTTAGCTGAGTGAGGGGTATTATATAGTCGGGACACCGGCCCGATAATTGTGTTCTTTCTTGTTTTACTTTCAAAAACATCCTTATCAAAGGCTAATTTCAAAATAAAATAACGAGTTTGAGGTATTGTTTTTTCAGTGTACAAGTATACATTATTATAGAAACTTCTAAGCACGTGTACAAAATAAAAAATTTATGTTTTATTTACGATGACGCGAGAGTTAAACACTTATTGGAGGCGGAAATAAATACAGTCGAGAGCAAAGCCAAATTGCCTGACTTAGCAATAAAAGATCTACCTATCACATTATCATTTCGAGTGTGTTTTTTTCTTATCACTTTCGTTAATTTTGTTTCTTATCTTCGGTGTGGCAAAAGAGTAAGTATATTAGGGTGGGTCGATTTGGAGGTCAACCAATCGTAGGGGGGGGAACGTATTCTATAGACAATTCTAAGCAACATTTCCAAAGAAACTATGCCTTGGCAAGAAATGCCCAGAGATTGTTTTCCGCCCCAACAATTTTTTACTTTTTTTCAGGTCTATTCCAGTTAATCACTATGGACGGCAGTCCATGTAGTGACGAAGCGCACCAGGAGAGTGTGCGAAGGCGACTACTATTATATAGCCGCAAAATTGAAAATCTGCTGTGATAGTCCCATCGTAATGAGTAATACATCAATCGAAAGGTATTTCAAAAACTTAAAGGATTGCATACCAAGACTTTAAGAAAATCAATTGGCTTGGGAGAGAGAGCGGTGAAAGTGAACACGTGCAAATTTCGAAATTGGGAGTTGTTGGGGCCGGTGGGGATAAATGCTCCCCCGCAATGTTTTAGTTGTGTTCCCATTGAAAATACCCGTCGAATGATGGGTCATATGATAAAATCTAAAATAAGATTTTCTACGTCTTCCCAAAATGAAAATTTTATTCTGTTTGTCAGTTAGTCCAAAACATGTTTTTTAAGTTTTAAAAATTTTATATGACGTTCATCACATCGATATAAAAAATTTTTGTTCTACCACTTTTGGAAAAACTCGCTAGTTTAGCGGGAAAACAGCTATAAATATATACCGTAACTTTGAAAGGTATTTTTAAATGCTATAAACGCCTTCTATATGCAATTTGTGTAAATGTAATAGTTAAAAAGATATAAACAAAAGACAATTTTTTAAAACTTTTTTTTAGCTTTTTTTTATTTTTTTCAAAAACGGCTCTAACGAATTTTTTTAAAACTTTAAACTGTATAGCCCTTGAGATTCCTTTAACTTTGGTATATAACACATTACTGTAAAAAGTCACGTTTAAAAGTTATTTTTATATGCAAATAGCAACTTTTGCAAGCTCGAACTACTAACGCTCCCTGAGTATTGAATTTTGTGTGAGGGTATCCGAACTGTATTTTAGGGTCATGGAATCAGTAAATTTGCACTTAAGAGTTCCATATAGGAATCTTTTGTTCTACGACTTTTGGAAAAAGCCGCTCCTTTAGCGGGAAAAAGCTAAAAATAGCTACATTTGGTTTGTTTGTAAGTTTTACACCACTAAAGGTACAGACATGTGCTATACCTCGTTTAAAAGGTATTTTGAAATACTTCAACGCCTTTTTAAATTAATTCGTTAAAATACAATAGTTTAAAAATTATGATTTATGACCAATTTAAATTTAAATGTTTATATTAGCACCTATGAGAGCAAAAGTAAACAAACAAAAACTTCTGATATCAAATAAAAACACCTCTTAACGAGGTAAAAAACTAGTGACGATAGCACCTTCAACGTACAAAAGTTCTGATATCAACTTTTGTGACGAAAAATGATTTTAGATGCGACTAAATAAGTACGCTACCTAAAATTTACTCGTTCGGCCCGCTTTAGCAAATATTTAATATCTACACGAAAGTTTTCTGTTGTAGCGTGCCGAATGAATAAATTTTAGGTAGCGTACTTATTTAGTCGCATCTAAAATCATTTTTCGTCACAAAAGTTGATATCAGATCTTTTGTACGTTGAAGGTGCGATCGTCACTAGTTTTTTACCTCGTTAAGAGGTGTTTTTATTTGATAAAATTTAGGGCTACTGTGATATTTTTCATCAAATACTGGGGTTTTTTCTTTTGCAAATGCGGAGGGTCAAACGTGGATTTTAAGATATAGTTTATTTTGCAATATTGCTTAGAATTCTTCCTGGATTGCGTCCCCTCCTACGATTTATCACTTTGTTTGGCCCATACAAATCTAACCAATCTAATATATCTATAAATATTAGGGTGGGTAGATTCAGAGGTCATCAAATTGTAGGGGGGCGTATTCTATGGATAATTCTAAACAATATTGCAAAAGAAACTATATCTTAAAAGCCACGTTTGACCCTCCGCGTTTGCAAAAGAAAAAAACCTAGTATTTGATGAAAAATATCACAGTAGTCCTAAATTGTATGGACTGGAATGGATGCGAAAAAAGTAAAAAATCGTTTGTGCGGAAAACAATCTGTGGGCATTTCTAAGCTTCCGCAATTGCAAGAGAAAAATACTGGTATTTCAATTTACTTTTCAGAAAAATATCATAGTAGCCGTTAAATATTTATCAATTTTAAATTCTTCCCTTTGTTAAAAATGTTTTGTTGATTGTAAAACATTTTTTTACCCTTGTAGAGGGTATTATAATTTCAGTCAAAAGTTTGCAACGCAGTGAAGGAAACGTTTCTGACAACATAAAGTATATATATTCCTGATCAGCATCAATAGCCAAGTCCATCTAGCCATGTCCGTCTGTCCGTTTCTATGCGAACTAGTCTCTCAGTTTTC